ATTCACGCCTGCTTCCAAATTGTGCACGAGGAAAAAAAAGTCACCTCGAGCCCCCCTTCCGTAGATGAGGAGGAAGCGATTTTTTTTTTTTTATAACAATTACCAATAAAACAAAAATATATAAACTGGTGCAATGGCATTCTGTCTGCGTGCTGTGTCCAGGAAATCTTCTGCTGTCTTCTCTCTGTATTCATCTAATATCGAAACAGATTAAAATCTTTTTCATGTTCGGTATACTTTGTATGATGGTCTTTTCATATGTACAACTTGTGTTTGTATATCTCAAAGCAGCAGTATGTGTGTGTATAGGAATTATAGGAATGCATTGATATTGGCGTAAGCTTTGTTTGCTTTCTGCTCCTGTATATGGATAGATAGATAATAGATAGATATTGATTTAAGATTTTGTCATATATATACTGTATATCTACATCTATCTATATGTATCTACATCTATCTATATGTATCTACATCTATCTATCTATATGTATCTATATCTATCTATATCTATCTATCTCAATATATATATATATAAGCTCTCTCTCGCTCTCTCTCTCTCTCGCTCTGTCTAGCTCTCTCTTTATCCCTCTCTCTATCCCACTCTCTATCCCTCTTTCTATCCCTCTTTCTATCCCTCTCTCTATCCCTCTCTCTATCGCTCTATATCTATCTCTCTCTATCGCTCCTATATCTATCTCTATCGCTCTCTATCTCTCTCTCTCTCTCTATCGCTCTCTATCTCTCTCTCTCTATCGCTCTCTATCCCTCCTCTCTCTCTCTCTCTCTCTCTCTAGATGGATAGATAGACTCTCTATCCCTCTTTCTATCCCTCTCTCTATCCCTCTCTCTATCGCTCTATATCTATCTCTCTCTATCGCTCCTATATCTATCTCTCTCTATCGCTCTATATCTATCTCTCTCTATCGCTCTATATCTATCTCTCTCTATCACTCCTATATCTCTCTCTATCGCTCTCTATCTCTCTCTATCGCTCTCTATCGCTCTCTCTCTCTATCGCTCTCTATCTCTATCGCTCTCTATCTCTCTCTCTCTATCGCTCTCTATCTATCGCTCTCTCTATCTCTATCCCTCCTCTCTCTCTCTCTCTCTCTAGATGGATAGATAGACTGTGTGTGTGTATATATGTACAGGTGAAACTCGAATAATTAGAATATCTTGCAAAAGTAATTGCAGTAAGTGCTGCAAAAGGGGCCCAAACCAAGTACTGAGTACATATGCATGCTTGTACTTCTCAGAGGTCCGATATTGTTCTATGTACAATCCTTGTTTTATTGATTGCATGTAATAATCTACTTTTTTGAGGTTGTGGATTTGGGGTTCTTGGGGTTTTCATGAGCTGTAAGCCATAATCATCACAATGATGACAAATCACGGCTTGAACTATCTTGCTTTGCATGTAATGAGTCTCTCTCATATATTAGTTTCACCGCATAAGTAGCATTAGTGAAATAAATGAACTTTGCACGATATTCTAATTATTCGAGCTTCACCTGTATATCATGCACACAGGGTTGTCACATGCTTGTACATATTGCCCTCATGAAATACTACATATAGTTAGTTTTGTTCTGCTCACAAAGAATAGCTCTGCACATATATCTGTCTAGCTTAGGGTATGGTGGATACCTGTCAGCAGCTATTAGTCCTGTTATTTCGGAGTCCTTGGGCCCGTGGAATAGCTGTACATTCGCTGCTGCTACTCTAAATGATACACAATGCTGACATAACTCGATGAATGGAGCAGGGGGAAACGCACCAGCTGTGTGCCAGCAAATTGTCACAGAGAACCCTCAGCTACGAGATAGGTTCTCTTTCTTCATCCCGCTGCTGTCATGCCATTTCGGTTTCATCCTGCAGCAGGTCTCGGTAGCGTAGCCCTTCTCTGTGTGCGTGTACAAAAAAAAAAATGAGCAAAGCGATTACACTAGCGATTTTAGTGACAACAATGCTGCTCAATGACTTAGCGCTCTTTGGTTGGCGGTTAGTAGTTGCAGGGTCGCATTTGGTCAAAAAATATGTTTTTTGTGGAGATCTGAGATTTTATTGGCATGGGCATTCTAAAATTACCCTTTGGGTCTGGAGGCTTTACCTCCTCTTGGCTTTGGATCTGGAGGATCTACCTCCTCTGGGCATTTGGTTATCCTTTGGGTCTGGAGGCTTTACCTCCTCTGGGCATTTGGTTATCCATTGGGTCTGGAGGCTCTATCTCCTCTTGGCTTTGGGTCTGGAGGCTCTACCTCCTCTTGGCTTTGGGTCTGGAGGCTCTATCTCCTCTTGGATTTGGGTCTGGAGGCTCTATCTCCTCTTGGCTTTGGGTCTGGAGGCTCTACCTCCTCTTTGGCTTTGGGTCTGGAGGCTCTATCTCCTCTTGGCTTTGGGTCTGGAGGCTCTATCTCCTCTTGGCTTTGGGTCTGGAGGCTCTATCTCCTCTTGGCTTTTTATTATCCTTTGGGTCTGAAGGCTCTACCTCCTCTTGGCATATGCAGGTTGTGTTTTAAGG